GTTAAATCGCGGCATCGCGACTCTGCGCGTTTAATCGATCGCGATCCCCCCCCGTTGGATGGATGAGTTACATGTTTTTGATCGAGAAAACATTCTCTTCGTTTTCTCTCATTTTTAGGTAGCTTAGATTCTTTCTGTAAAAGCACGAGTAATTTGAACGGGCCAGTGGTCTCGAATTTTTGAAATTTCGAGGTATCAAATCAGTCAACTCCAGTTACGCTTTTTATATTCAAATTAAATAATAATGTAATATTCAAATAATAATTTATATATATATAATGATATATATAATATATAAAATATAAAAAAAATTAATTATATATAAAATATAAATATATAATTATATATAAAATATATAAATATATAAAATATATAAATATATAAATATATAAAATATATAAAAAATTAATTATATATAAAATATATAAATATATAATTATATATAAAATATGTAAAAAATATTTAAATAATAAATAAATAAATATATATATAAATTTTTTATCTAATAAATATATATATATATATACATAATAATAAATTTAATTTAAATAATAATGTAATATTAACGATTAAATTGAATGTTATTGGATTTATCGTCGTTAAACGGTGGGATGATAAACAATTTATTACAGAAGGCAGTTTTTAATTTGTTCATTCTGCATCTCGTTAGGTAGAATTTATATCTGTAATAATAGGTTCTACAGTATATTGTTATTATTATTTATATTTTTTGCAGTTATTATTATTACGGTTATTATTTATATTTGAATGTTTTTAGAGAGGAATTTTAAAAAGACGTACACTATTTTAGCAATCTTTCTATTTTCTGTTTTGTCGAGTTCGTCGATTTAGTAAAAATAGACGATTCGTATATTCTGTGACTTTCTGGATTGGTACTTTGCATTGCATCCTCTTTTCACAATTCCTCTGTATATACAGTAGGTATTAAAAGACATAGATTTTATATAGGTGTACATACAATAGATATATGGTAATCTTTATACAAAAACTATTTACATCAAATTATGACCTGAACCATTGACCTGAAACCATTCACTTCTTGTTTGAATTATCTTAGTCAGTTTATGAAATTTGTAGATTAAAATTGGATACTAGAAAGTATCTACACTTTAGAAATTTAAAATACACTGATGGTATAATTTTTCATCGAACGTATGTTTCACTGTACATGCATACACAATCGCATAAAATATTTATACTATCCTGTACTCGTAATGATATACTTTGTAAAAAAAGAAATGTCAAATTGACACAAAGAACGAACAAGGATTAAATAATCAGATTGAGATCAGCGACAATGCAATAACTTCGAATTCAAATGCTTCAACCTCTAATGAAAACAATCTATCAATTCCGACTCGTTCGTCTAAGGCGAGATTTTCCAGCGTCTGTTCTACATATACAGCGGCTGTTTCGTAACGAACAAGAGCAATCGGAGACCCACGCGGGACAAATTACGTCCAATTTAAAAGATCGGCCACTTTCGTCTCGGTTTGATCGCCCCACGGAACCAATATCTCCGCCAAATTGGATTCCTGGCATCAAATTCCGCGTTCGAATCTTCTTCCGCGGCGTTCTTTAAGATCTTCACCGGGAAGATTCTTCCCGGGGAGACAAACGACGCCCATTAAAGTCCTGGACAGGGTTATCCGAGCGGGCATATAAGAGCGTAACAGAGAAAACGGCATTCATTAGTTTGTCGTCAGACCCTCCATTGGTTATCGTGCCTGTGTCGCTTGATTTATGCTCGTCCTCTTGCCACTCTAACTGAATACTTTGCCACAACCGAAACTCATTTGCGCCCTCCAGACCAAGTTGTCAAACTCTGAACTACATCGTTCTACTTAATCGAAAATTTATCGTTTGAAATCGATCGACGATGTGTTCAATTATTTAGTATTTCAATATTCGTGAGAGTGATCGATTTGGGATATAAATTTTTCGCGTACATGGTGAATTTGTGTTACTGTCTTTTGTTCAATTCTCGAGAGACAATTTTGTTGAATTATTTAGTATTTTAACGTATGTGAAAGTGATCGTTTTATCATATATTTGTGTGTGTGTGTGTGTGTTTTTTTTTAATTTAAGCTCATTTTGTTGTAGTAGATTGATAAGGATAATGGTAAATTCTAAAGTAAATTTGTAACATCGGTACCTTTTAATTTAGAAAATTAAGAATGAATAAAGAATATTATCAAATAATCGCGATTAATTAACAAAGACAAAGCCAAATAATGGTCCTTTTAATTTAGAAGTAAGAAAGCAAGTAACGGTACCTTTTAATTTAGAAAATTAATAATAAATAAAGAATAAATAAAGAATATTATTATCAAATGATTGCGATTAACTAACAAAGACAAAGCCATCAATGGTCAATCTTAAATGAATCTACATATCAAACCCTCTATACTCGATCGCCCGAAGCATCGTCAGTTGCACCAGAAACTCCATCATGGTGGAATGGTCCATCAATTTTGGAGTATCACTCTACCCGAAACCCTTGAATCATTCTACAATTTGCCCATCACACGCCAAGAACCTGTCGTTCTCATGCATACGTCTCATGCAGATTTCTCAACAATTTCTCGCCGCTTGTTCTTCGCCTCTCTACCAACAGAGTTTCCCGAAAAATCGGTATATGTATCTCGTCGATCGGTGGCTACTTCAATATCGAATTTCCCCAGAACGAGATTCATCGTCGAGCGTCTCGTCAACCTCGAGATTCTCCCGCCAAATTTATCCATTTCGAAGTCGATCGATGAAACCGTACAACGAAATTGACGATTACCGTGGATCCTCGATCATCGAGCTGTTTGATGTTCGAATAGTTTGAAACTCGGGCGAAAAAGAAATATATTACAAGAAAAACATTGTTCGTTATTACACGATATAATATATGATACGAATGATATTTCCTTGAGAAATGATACTTTAACCATCTTAAATGCTTTACAATTTTTTTGTTATACATCTACATCCAGAATTGACAAATCATTGTCAATCATAGAAATATAACGTGTAAAAATTTTTGTAACGCTGCTTCATAGAGACTTTGTAAAAATTCATAGAATTACAAGAATTAGAAAAATTTTGTAAAGAAGAAAGCGTCAATTGGAACGTTCAAAGTATCGAAACAATATAAAAAATCGTTTCGAAAAGCTCGGTGATTGGAAAGGATTGAAATTCTTCGCCATTTTTGAGCCATTTCCGAACAGCGCGTTCGAAACTGAACCCGCGTGATTTGATTTGAGATTCACGCCACTTTCTACGGGGATGAAATTCGAGTGAATCGAACTCCGATCTCGAAACCGATTCCCGAAAACGCTCACCTCTGTTCCATTACCAAACGTGCTTAATATTTTTCGACGGAATAATCCGCCGGACCGTGGAATTCCCTTGGTCATTTATGTTCACTCTTGTTTACACGCGCCGCGTACACGGCCAAGTAATTCGTTCGCGTGCGCGAATTAATTACGAATTATAAGCGGAACATCAAATTGCTCTAATTAATTAATCCATCACAATAGACCGGAGTATGTGTGTGTGTGTGTTTGCTAGCGTCGATCGGCTAATACTCGGGCAACATTAATAATTCACTCGAAATAATCGCGACCGGTTATTATTGCACCCGCGGTGACATATCGCGGCGAAAAATCCAATGGCCACTTTTGTTATATACGGCACCGAGCCACCACCGCTCGAATCGTCTTTGTTCCGGCCACGCTGGCCTGTTCTCGGTTATTCATTAATTTCCAGCCGGGCGAAAAAGATTTCGCGCGGAAACAAAATGATCCAAGTATTTTGGTTTGCACGTGTTTGTATATTTGGAATTTCGGGAGAACATCGGAAGAATATTTTGACATTTAATAACGGTGATTCGACAATGACGTTTTCATCCTTGTCCATCCCTCATTTCTTTGACTTAATTTGTCCCTCGTTTGGTGTCGAACTGGCATAGAGTGTGTCGAAATTAATGTCCACGATGAAAAGATAAATAGTTTGTAAGTTTGTGAATAATTTGTAAAATTGTGAACAATTTGTAAATTGTTTTCATTGACAGAGTATATAGAATAAATTTCTATTTTTTTGCGTATAAATATTCAACTATTACGTCCTATGTTTTGTATATTTTATGAGAGAAATGTGTCCAATTGACGGATGAGGGTTAAAATATTTTTATATTTAAAGTAGATAGAGGTTAACTTTGCAACAGTTTCGTTTACAGAAATTACAGATTTCGGAGCACTTGGGATTATTTGAAAATACTTCTATACTTAGAATAATTCCGAGAAATTTTATGTAAGAATACTTGAAATAATTTTAAAATATTTAAATATTTTTATTTATTCTATACCCTATATTATATTTAATACATAGTATAAAATAAATATATATTTAATTTACATTTTATAACTCTGTCACAGTTCTAAGATATATCCAACGTTTTCCCTGTTCTCAATCATCTCGTCTTTATTTCAGTTCTCTCTGTCTTCGCGCGAATATAAACAAATCCATGTACTTCCAATAAAATATTTTTACTCAAAATAGCACTCAATCCACATCAACAAGAATTCTTCACAATCCGTAACAATCTAAGATGCAAATAATCTAAATACAAATCACCCTCTCAACGCACTGTTCACTCCCCAAGCCTCCACAAATCCTTCCGCAAACCTATTCAGATTTCTTCTTCACCCCTTCTTCTTGCCCCATAACCTTCCCCTATGAAGCAATTCCCGCAGTAAGGAACACCTTCGTGTCAACGAGCTCACCTGAACAGGGTGAAAAGGTAAATGGAACGTAACAAGACGAAAGGGGTTGGGGGATGGAAGCCGAGACGACGGGTGTTCCCCGTGGAACTTTAATCATCCAGTAAGGTCACGTAGCTACAGCTCGAGGACGTATATAGAGACTTGGGTGGTGAAGCAAGAGAGAGAGAAAGAGAGAGAGAGAGAGAGAGAGAGAGAGAGAGTACTTACGAGATCCCCGTTCAGCTTCCACGTAATGGCGGAGGCGGGACTGGAGTTGCCTGTGGTGCAGTTCGCTCGCAGTTGCTCACCCACCGCGATCCTCTCCTTCTCGATGCCGATCGCCGGGTCCGTTTTCGGCGCGTCTGAGGCATAATAATTACGTCGTTTAGCGCACGCGACTGCTAACTCGACGCCTGGCCGACAGCCAGCAGCTAACCGGGCCGGGTGTCCGTGCGAGGCCTGAATTTGCGAGGGGCTGTATCCAACCCCTTGCAACGTGTTTCCCGATATTTTTCTGTATATATCACGTCATTTTCTTAAGCTGGATAGAGGGGTAATCACTGTCGTCGTGCAAATATTCAATTTTGAGGACTAAATATTACATTAATATTTAAATATTAATAGATATTAAATATTGGTAGATGTTAAATTTGAATATTTAAATATTAATAGATATTAAATATTACTAGATGTTAAATTTGAAAAATTTAAAATATATATATATATATATATCGTATTTATTATTACTAATTAATAATATATTTTAATAATTAATAATATTACTAATTAACAATAATTATTATTACTAATTAATGGATATTAAATATTAGTAGATATTAAATTTGAAAATATCTATATATATATATATATATATCGTATTTATTATTCCTATTTATTATTACTGTCATATATCATTAATCCCGTGAATATTCAGTTCTTGAGAATTAAATATTAAATAAATAAATATTACATTAAACGTTTAGGTATTAAATTTGAAAATATTTAAATTAGTGTAACATCGTGAAAAAAAAAATTGCACGAGTTTTTCGTGCCAAGCTTGAATTGCAAAGGGTTGAATACAACCCTTGCAAAATATTTTCCGATATCTCCTATCACTGTGCATATATCGTACTATTTTTTTGAATTGGATAGAACAATTATTACAGTCGTGTACCATTAATCCGTGAATATTCGATTCTTGAGAATTAAATATTAAATAAATAAATAAATATTACATTAAACGTTTAGGTATTAAATTTGAAAATATTTAAACTAGTGTAGCATTGTGAAAAAAAATTGCACGAGTTTTGTGCGAAGCTTAAATTGGAAAAGGGTTGGATATAATCCTTGCTTATCGAGGCTTCTTGAATTGTCGATTTTGGATGAAACTATATTTTTTGGTAAGATAATGTTATTAAAGTTATTACTGGTATTCACCCTTATTAATTAACGATTTGAAGTACATACTTGCATCTGTTTCTTTCACAAATATGAAATTGATAAACGTTCCAATTTTCTAAACGACAGCAAGCATACAACACGCCTATATAAAGTTTACCTATTATCACATTATTATATTATCACAGCAATTATTTACAACACATCATGAAAGGAGATGCGCTTCTGTCTCATTTCATCGAAAGCACTTCAATTTATTCATTTACTCACGTATCTTAACAGACTCGATTAACCTGGCTACCGAGAAACAAATTCGAAAAATTTACACGCCCACGCGCTATCTCGAAACACGCGATCAATCTCTCGACAGACCGGTCCAATTCAAATTCGGAAATCTACTCGTCCGCATTTCGAAATCCTCCAGCAACCAATTCGCAAAACACACTCGCCAATATCGACAACGCAACACTACCTGCAAAGCCAATTTCGACTCTCCAATCCCCCCCTCCCATCCACTAGTATAACCCTATCTGTTACACAAAACTAGCGCACGTTTCTCAATTTCGAAGCCCTCGTCGATACAGCGTAGGAAGGAGTTCCTTGGATAATTAAAGCGGCTTCGACGTTCGGATTTCTATTCCAGGAGAGAATCGAGAAGAGGAATAGAGAGAGGGAGGGAGAGAGAGAGAGTACTTCCGGTAGTAGTTGAGGGCCGAGCCGCGTACCTCCCGGGAAGGCTTCCGCGATCCGTCGTTTCTGACATGAAAATGGGTCGCACGTAGGAGCGCACGTGCGCGGCATTACAGGGTCCGGCGTTGCCGCGATTCGAGCAACGAGAGAGAGAGAAAGAGAGAGAGAGAGAGAGAGAGAGAGAGAGAGAGAGGGAGGGAGGGAGAGAGAGAGAAGGATTTGTCTACTCGGTGGAACTTTTTAATTCTCGAGTCCCGGGGTCCCGGGCTACTCACCCACTACTTCCATTCGGGCTCTCTTGATCATCGTGTGGTACGAAGGGCTTCCGGCGGACACCTCGCACATGTACAACCCCGTCAGGTTTCTCGACACGTCGACCAACGTCACGTCGTGCGAGTTCGATTTGGAGACCTGTCGGACAAATCGAGATACCGCGGATATTAAAACGAAGTCACGTCGTTGTCAGAGCAGGTTTTTCAAATTTCATCTTCATTTGAAAATCGATTGCTCGGAGATTTGTGATTTGTTTCGTTAGGGTGATTTGAGATTTGTTTATTAAGGGAGTAACAAAAAAAAAATAAATAAATAAATTAATTAATTAATTAATTGCACAAAAGAACTCGCAGGAGAGGAGACTAATCGTAATTGAATTAATCATAGTTGCGTTAAATTAATATTCAATTTAGAGTATTATGGTGAAGAATCAATTGAAATTTGACTTGTTAGAGTGACTTTCCTGTGTGTGTTCTAGTGTTAAAATGAATTGTACAAAAGAATAAGATGTATTTTTTTAAAAAATGGAAATTACAGAAATGAGGACAAGAAGTGTTTTTACAACTTACTTCAATATTGTATAGTGATATGAATAATTATATAGAAGGCAAGAAATTAATCTCTTTCTTACGATAGTTAAAAGAAGATTTCCACGAATAGTAGGGATCTTTAATGTGTATAAATAAAAATATTCAAATCAGAAAAATATAAATATATATTTTACTTTATAAAAATAGAAAAGTATATAAATATATATTTTATTTTATAAAAATGGAAAAGTATATAAATATATATTTTATTTTATAAAGATAGAAAAATATATAAATATATATTTTATTTTATAAAGATAGAAAAATATATAAATATAAGAAAATTAATTAAATTATTCTTGCCAACGATGAATACTAAACACGTTTCTAGGATTTATCCTTAGAATTTGAAGCTGTTTTATTATAACATATAAAAACGTTTCTTCAAGTAGCTTGATTATGAATGTATAAAACTCGATACTTTATTGATTGATATTTTAATTTCATTTCACAATAAGAACAAATTATCGACATTGTTCCGACGACGAAATTATTAATCGAAACTTTCGAACTGCCCCTCGTTATAAGTTTCGGGCGTTTGAAACTATCGACTAATATTAATTAAACACTCTCATTGACAATGACCACTCATTTGTAAAAGCACAGAGAAAATTTAATACCAAAAATAGTTCGCGCAATACGTAAATCCATTTGCAGCACGATTTATCCCTCAAAGTTCGGCCACTTACGATCAAGCTCGCCTCGTCCGTCCAGTAACCATAAAACCATCCCATTCACAGAAACCACTTTCAGAAAAATTCTTGAAATTCCCTCGCTCGCGACTCGCTAGTACTGCGAGAACGTGGGCGGAAGTTTTATTTCGGGTTGCAGTTCCCGGTGCGTTAAACGCGCGGGAGACCGGAAGCGATCGACGCTTTGGCGAACGACGCGCTTCAATTCGAAAGGACGAGCTCGCCCGTTGCAACGACCGCAACGAGAGGATGCTTTTACAGGCGATCGAGAGCCGCTGGAAATCTGATAGCGGCGAAGAAATTACCAGGAAACTTTCTCTCCGCTTCCCTCTTCTTTTTCTTTTCGCTTCGACGGATATCGTTCTGCCAGAAAGTTGACCCGGCTCTGCCCATCGGTTACACGATGGACGCCCAAGTGAAATGTACTCTTCTGTTCTTTTAGGTTAGCCGAGAGAAGCTCCCCTTGCCCTTGCTATTCGATTAATTTCCCTCGAACGTTCCGTATCTGTCCTGAGCTATTTATCTTCGAGTATCTATTTAACTTTTCGAAAATTCGAGTCTCATCCCGCTTCTCCGTAAAAAAAAATGGAGTGTCATTGGTCGGTTCGAGATACAATTCCTTTCATAAATCTCCGGACGATCGACAGATATATTTGGGACGAGAATAAATGAATATTTTTATGACTGAATGCGGCGCGCTGATCCATCACTTGGGTTAATAGAGAATTGTTAAATAATGTTACGTCGTGGTAGAAACTAGCAATTTTTATCTAAATTTAAAAATCGTTTCAATTCTGTCGAATCTCCCGGAGAGTGCAATTTATTTATCGTTTTGTCATCCTTCGAGTTTCGAGGAGAATCTGAAATAATAACTGAATCAACGTAATTCGAATCGCGTATAACGATGACGTACAAGATGACGACGAGAAGGATAATAGTTACAAGTAAAAATTTTAAAAGTAAAAAATTTCAAATATTTTGTAAATTTTTATGTTTTCACCATCAATAAGTTGCAAATTATCGACATAAGTCCACTAATTACAAACTATAATTGACAATCGCGTAACATTTTGATTATCCACCTCAACGATCGACTAATATTGCACGAAATTGTGCTCAAGTATACCGCTCGTACGCGTAATCACGCCGTAAAAAAAGAACTCAATCTCTCAAATGGGAAGGAGTAACGTTCCGAAAGCCCCGTCGCAGCGATTACTCCCGCGCGTTTGTCGCCGATATTGTATACAACTATCTCCGTTCGCCGATTTCCGACAGATTGCTCCCCGACAATTATCCCGACGCTGCGGAACGCGAAACAAGAGGCTCGAAGCCGTTCTTTATTCGAGGGAACATCCATACGCGTTCGTTCCGCAACGTCGGGATAACGATCTCTCTCGGCAACTTCATGAACGAAATGAACCCCACCCCAACCCTATCCCTTTTGTACGAATTTCCAAAGGGGGAACGCGTATAATTTCCCCGAATCTCTTTTTCTCCTCCCTTCTCCGATCCGCTCCGGGAGCCGGCTTGGCTCGTTTTATTTCCCAGCTCTCGGTTTCCCTCCTCCCGACCGCCGCAGAATTACTTTGTATTCCACGCGACTATCGACCTTCCATCTAACCCTCTCCCCACGTCTAAATCTCGATCGGACTGCATTCTAACCCCCCACCCCTCGACCGACCTCTCGTCTCGTTGCAATCATTTATATGCATCGCGGTGGTTCCTCCCTCCCTCCTCCTCCTCCTCCTCCTCCTTTTCCTACGACTCCTCATCCACCCTTCACCGTCGCCTGCTTTACAAACTACACCGGATACGGGAACAAGCTCTTTTCACCGTTTCCTCTGCTCCTGATGGATCCTACTCCGCGGACTCAACCGGAGAAACAGACCCACTTTTAGGATTCATGTTTCATCGAAGGATCGCTGTTCTGTCGGAATCATTTTCTATCTCTCTGTTCGAGAGATTGATTTCTTCTCGATGTTTCGCGGGAGGAGGGGACAGATGGCGCAGACGGCGGGATTATCACGGAGGTTTGCTCCTTTTAAAATCCCTTGCGCTGGCGACCTGGTTCGCGGACCGTAACGAGCGACCGAACCGTGTACAGTAATTCGTCGAATTTTCTTTTGAACTCGCCAAGGTGTGATATCACTGGATGGAAATGATCAAGGGGTAAAAAAATTTGTCATTTGTTTTGCCTGGGTTATACTTGAAACTGAGAAAAATATTGCAATTTGGGACAAAAAAAATTCTCGACGTGCAGGATAAATATGTCACGAGATTTAACAAGAAACTATTTATAATGTGTAACAAGATTTTATAACGTTTGCAATCATACTCGAAATTGCTAGTATACGAATATTTATACAAACGAATGTTTATCTCAACAACTGCAATTAAAAATTCGAGATCCGAGCGGAAATTTGTTTCCCCCAAATGTTCTAACAAGTTATTATAAATGAATGATTTGATGTGCGCGCGTTAAATGATTTTCTCCTTCGCGGCTGGTGAAAGTGAATAACGTATAAACAGAGTGACAACTAAATGAATAAATAAATAGATAACATGCGAATAGCGATAAAAGAAGAAACAGGATTACCAACTACGATAGAGTTCAGAACTCCAACCACGGTTATTTCTCAAACAAAGACTTATTTTACGTTGCACGCTCTTGTAAATATTGTTCAAGCCATCGTTACTTTCAACTCGTCGTGTACCGCGTCGCTATAAACCGATCGTTTCCCCACAAAGATTTACGAAAACAACTTCTCACGTCTGCCTCGTTGGCCACCTTGTTTTTCGTGCCATCCTTCTCGTTTGGGTTATTCATACGTTCGCTGCTCCTATGAATCCTTGTCGCGAGCCGATCTTTTGCCATTTGTTTTGCAAATTCCAGGGATAAATCAGGCATTTCGGTCGGGCACTCGTATTATCGAACTGGTTTGTTATTTTCAGCCTGAATGTCTACATAAAGTTTCGACCGTGCAATATATATTCTTTATGACGAAAAAAATAACTCAATAAAAATAGGAAAATATGGGACAAAATTTTTTGATTCGAGGCTCGCTTGAGGAGAAAATCTAGCTTGAAGATTTATTGATTATACTTGAGTTTAGCTAATTACAAGCGTGAGAGATGCAATTCTATGAGCGAAAATAAGTGAACGATGTATCAAGGGTGGGTCAAGAATCACTTTCAAAAAAGAATCACTTCTAAAATAAATCCGTAGTTTTTTTTCTATTGTATACTTCTTTTCAACATTTGAAAAATATTAATTTTTAAAACACAATGAAAAAATTATGTTTGAACTTAAATTTAATTCGAAATTAATAAAAATTAGCAGTTTTCTCATGTTTTGGCGTTTTTATTAAAAAAGAAATAGGCGGGAAGATACTCTTGGTCTATCTTATGGAACAAAATTTTTTGATACTTGAATTTCAATTATTTAAATTATTAGTGATACTTGAATTTAACGAGAAGTTATCCTACGTGCGAAAACAAATGAAAAATGTAGAATGGAATTTTTTCATTTGAAGCTTCGTCTTCAAGAAAACACCTTGGTGTACATGTAATTTCAAATTTTCAACAAAATTATCGTCTTACAGAAAAATTATAATTACGTGCAAATAGTTGGGTATAGCAAAAATAATTTAATTAATAACATTAGTACTATTGACCTATTCAAATTAATTTCAAGCCGAATTTTCGTTTACTCTATTAAAATTTCATTTTCTTTTTCCGTTGCAACTCTGAACAGAAATTCCATGGAGGTCTCCCTACTCGTTGCTATTTCTTTTGTAAGCTTGTAAAGTTTAATGAATTTGTAACATTCATTTATATTATTCACAGTATTCGCAGCGATATTTCTAACAATATTAATTGTGATATCCAAATTACTACAATATTCTTTTAAACTATTTCACGTTACTATAATATTGCTTTAACTATTTTTTTCTTTTAACTCAAGTTTATTTTATATCCTCAATCTATATAATATTCTGCAATTCATTTCATTAGTTTAATTTAATTTAATATTCTAGTATTTCTATGTTATCAAGTTTAATGAAATTACAATATTTATCTTATTACAGTATCATACCACTATAACATCTTTTCATCTTTTTTTCAAATCAAACTCCACTCCTTTAATTTGTATAACAATTTCGCAACTTACTCCGCCGGTTCCATTAAATTTAATTTAATAATAATACACACAGGGTGAGAGTTCAGTTTTCCATACGCAAACGCCGCCGCTGTCGATCTGATCGAATCGAGATAAAATAAATTGACGAAAAAAAAAAAAAAGAAAAAAAATAAAAATTAATTGAAGCAATAATTGCGAATAGAAAATCTCGATATCCAGGAGAACGTCGACAAAATGCCGCTATCGGTGGGAGAGCATCTCGTTCCCGGTCCGAAGCGAGGCTGGGAATTTTATTAAAGATCCCTATCGGCGAACGGTGCGCATCGCGCGAATGAAAAATTTGTTTTCCAAGTGTCTCGCGATCCCGGGCGGAATCGAATCGATCGCCTCGATTTCCAAACCCTCCTATCTTGTCAGCGTCCATTTGCCACCGTTGCGAACGGTGGCCAACCTATCGATTCGCGGCGAAAAACTCTGCGGACTCTTTCCCCCTCGCCGACCGCACTTTAAGAAACGCTCGAGACCAAAGTAAATTATGTCTCCGTTGCAAAGTTTCACCGCGAAACGGAGGCGTTTCGCGACGCTGCTTCGTTCCAATATTTCCAATCTATGTTAATTTCCTCCGTGGGTAATTGGTTTACAATCAAACGTTGCGTAATCTCTGTTTGAGATCGAAATTAAACGTTAGAATTTCGCGAGGAGAAAAGTTCTCCACCCGAGGGTCTTTCGACTCTGATTTGTTTTGACGCTTTTTAAGTATTATTCCACGTTGTTGTTTCTTTTGCGGATGACGGGTTGAAGTTGGAATTAAATATCGAATGAAATTTAAGAACTTGGGAAATCCTCTCGAACGGGATTTAATATTGAATAAAACGAGAATCTAAATGTGGGATTACATAGA